TTTGGAGAGGAATGGTTAATGCTATTAAGCAGTTTTCCGTAGTTGTGACAAAAAATTAAGATAACGTTCAGACTGAGTTAATCAGGAACATGTCTAATCTGGTCATCAATGACCTCAGAAGTATGTGATTCTAGTGTAGATTTACACGCAATCAGACTTATTTTTTCAACCAGTGGAGTTGTCCTCTTGATTGATTAGTTGGTTGCACATTAAAACCAACTAATCAACCTTTGAACCAACGGGCCTTTCTCCGATGGTGATGATCTAATCCTCTAGAAACACTGGTCAACTTTTTGTGGCTTCAGGTATAGCCAGCAGCAAATGAGAAAGAACTTCAGGCCAAGATTTCCTTTTCTGTGCGTTGCCCAACTAGCAACTTGTTCTGAGTTTAGACATGAAGTGAAGGAGCTCTGTATGCAGATGCCAGTTTATAGACATGATTAAAGCTACAATGTCATAAGTAGACTGCCAATTTGTTCAGGGATTCCTTTTTGCTCGAGAATTCCCTACTACTACTAAAACCATAATATTGCCTGCAGATTCTTAAGCAATATCTAAATGTCCAACTTTGAACCTATTGTGGCCGGCATAGGCTCAGCAATGGCCAAAATAACTCACATTAAGAAAAAAATGCAGCACATTCAGAAAGGACAGAAATTTAAAACACACATATTCAGAAAACAACTGCAATTAGACTAAGGTTGCAAATCCAGTCTGTAAATGAAGTGCTCTGGACCTGTATGGGCCCTCAGTGCTATAGTTTATTATTAAAACAAGAGAGCGAGGCGAGAAGGTAGTGGTAGTAGTCATTTTTTATTTCGGTCAACATATACAGGTGAATTTATTGTTTGGGTGGGGAATTTGGCACAGGGTGACAATAAAGAGTAACACTCAAATGACAGAAAACTATGAGATTTAAAGTGAGACTGGTCTGGATTTAACAACGGAGATCAGTGAGCTGAGTGAGGCTTCTGCCCGGACAGCTTCAGGATGCCTGTAGCTACAGCTAGCTGCAGGGCTAACACATCCCCTGTAGCCCGCCAGAGTCAATTCATTGATCCGCGGCCTGCATGGATAACTAAAGTCATATCTGGTGGAGGTTACACTAAGCAGTGGTTGTGAGCTGCCCTGTGAGAACCCCTGCTCAGCTCTATCTTCCCCTGACTTGCACTTAAGTCGTTTGGACTTTTGCATGTGCTTTGGAATTTAGCATATTTCTGAACATGCTGCACGTTTATCTTAATGTAAAAAAAAAGTCTTTACGAGGATCTATGATGAAGCCAAATCCAACAACAATTTCACAAGGGACATCCTTAAAGCTAATGTTTGGTTTGTCTGTTGAAAAAACTCCAAACAATTCACATATTCAGATAATTAAAGAATGAGGTATACTTCTAAATGTAAGATTATAATCCATTTCTGCACACTCCTGGATGGTGTGTGTGTGTGTGTGTGTGTGTGTGTGTGTGTGTGTGTGTGTGTGTGTGTGTGTGTCTGAGAAGTTCACATGAGCCTGCGGAGCACTTGTGAGTAATGTTCACTTGTTCAAACATGTACACAGGACAGAAAAGAGAGAAACATGGAGAAACAGTGAGGGCCGCTGTGTGATAAGTGCCTCCTGTAAGGGCGAGAGAGGGAGAAGGATGAGTGTGTGTGTTGTGGTTTGTCAGAGCTGGAGCCTTTACGCACACACTACGGGGAGAAAGATTGGGCTGGGGGGTGGTTAGAGGTGTGTGTGATGGAGTGTGTGATGCAGAGGAGGAGGGGGGACGGAGTGATGGAGTGTTGGATTGAGGGAAGGTGGGTGGGTGGGTGGGGGGGGGGTTGTGATGAGTGTGTGCTCACAGTGTTAGTGACACCTCTCGTCCTCAGACAGATTGTCTCTCTCACCCGGTAACAGGGACCCTGTTAGAAAACCTTCTACCTCGTCAATCCACCTAAACCCCCCTCCGCACACACTCTCTCGCCTTTTCTACACAGACAATTCTTCTTGTGTATTTATTCTCCTGCAGAAATATACCCTAAATTGCCTCAGTCTCTAAGTCTTTCAATTCGCCCTTTTCTCCACATAATTTCTAATCAATCTTCACCTCTTTCCAAAACTGCTGATTTTCTGTAAAGCAGTTTAGCTCGGGTTTACAGCTCAGAGAGAGGGAAGAAAAAAAAAAACAGATGAAGAAATAGAAAAAGGGAGATCAGAAAGGAAGGAGAGAGCGAGAGGGAGAGGATATCAATATTCCCACTGCCGCTGGTATCCTCAGAATGATTTTCTTCCCCTGTTTGAATCTGACATTGAATATTCTGCATAGTCAGTGAGCCTATTTATCCTTCGTCCAACGTGCATCTCTGTGCCAATCACACTCTGATGATTCATACGCACATTTACTTTAAGCACACACTCAGACTGACACAGGATGTAAGGATACATGGGCCCAAAATAAGCACTTCTATCTGCACACAAACTAACACACACATTCACACAGATATTTTGAACCAGGCTCAAATGTGTTGCTTCCTGAAATCTAATCATCAGCCGGAGTATTTCTTTGTGTCTGTGAGACATCGGATGTATGTGATTACCTGTGTGTGTGTGTGTGTGTGTGTGTGTGTGTGTGTATCTGCCCTCGCTAACAATCGTCTCTGTAAAACCCGATCAGAGGCCGTTTACACGCTGGTGGGAGTTTGTCACGCAATCACACGACACACAAGACAAATAGGCTTCATAACTTCTCTGTAACAAATAATCACCTGGGTCTGAGCTCTGATCCTTCATAAAATCTCTTCTACCTGTGTGGATGCAAAGCTCGAAGGAGTTTGTAATGCTTCTAGTTGTATTTTATTTTAGTCTGCTTTCAACCATTTGCTCAATCCAAAAACACAAAGAAGTAATGTATACATTTTAAATAAGACAGGTTGAGGGCTAATATAGGTTAGGCTCCCCTCCAAGAATCACAATCTGACAAGGTGGAGGGGATTGTCCATCTGAACTTGTGAGCTTTGCTGTCCAAGATGCAAGCACCCAGAAGCTTCGCCCAAATCAAATTGTTGCCTCCAGAGAAGGGTCCACACTAAGAGCGTTCAACAAACCCCTATGACCTGGCCAGACAGGATGAGACCGGCCTTTGCCCTGAAGAGGGACATAGTGGCAACATCCTGTTGTCAGACCACAGGGGAGGGCTCCACTGCGAGTGTCTGATGACCGGGTCAGGTTTCTCTCTGGGGCCCATCCGAGGTCAGCCTTCAAAAATAACACAGAGTGGTCACCTTGTGGAGCCACCACATTCAGGAGGGGGGGTGGTTCGGTTCTTAGTAATCCAGGTGGCGTTCTAAAGTGGGGTAGACCCAGTGCTTCCTGGTGAGATTATATATCCCATCTGACCCGGGAATGTCACAGAATTCCCCAGGAGGAGCTGGAAAACGTTGTCGAGAAGAGGGATGTCTTGCTAATCCTGCTGTCACCACAATCCGACCCCGTATAAGTGGAATAAAATGGATGGAAGGAAAGCAAATCACTTATCAAAAAGGTGTAGGCTGGGGCTTAAGCTCTTTATACCTTTTTAAATAATGCACATTTGTCATAACCAGGCTTCCATGGTGGGGTTCATATCTAAAACAAAAAGGAGAGGCATTGTTTTCACTTCAATGATGGTATTTTATATTATTTGTTGACATTGCAGTAGAAAGTATTACTTGAAGTCCAAATCTGTACTCCATGTTGCAATGAACAAGTTTGTCCAAGTTTTACTCCCACAGCTTTCCACAAGGTCTGAAACTACTCCTACAAACATGCTCGTAATGTAGCAAAACACACTTCTCTACCTGCCAGGTATCCACCAACACAGTTCCATAATGCCAACACTGCAGCACAAAATAATGCCAGTGATCAATAAAATGTTCAATGCAAATTCCCCATTCAATACTTCCCTGTTCCATCTCTGCTACCTATAGATAGCAGCACTAATCTTACACACCTCCTACATATACTTCAACAACATGCAACACTCCACCATTAAACCCAACAGCTATTTATCGTCTAGTCTTAGCACAACAGAGATCCTACAATATCAACTCCAAGCAACGTCAGTCATGTCCTCACTTCAGCGTCGAAGCTCTCAAGATTTCTTTTAACTCTCTGAGCATCAAGCATCTCATTGGCAATGCGGCAACATCAACACCTCACGAATGTCTCTTCCTACTTCACACAAAACCGGCATCTAAGCATCCACCCACAGCAGCCTTCAAAGTAGCACTTCAAACCATCCAAACGCTCAACATGTAAGGTAACCATGGTTTTACTTCACCCAAATTCTCTGCCTGATTTTGGTTGTCACCATTCACAAAGCCCTGCAAGCTTTTCACATATTTCATAACTCACCATCTCCCTGCTTTTGATAAGTAATTTGGAAGTCAAATGTGGAAAATTTGCTGTGGAAATTGGACCAAATGAAAGCACAAACTGTTTCATTGGATCTGATATTTGTAACTGTGACATTGGCTTCATTCTTTTCTGGTTTAAAGTGTCCCCACTACTAAATTCACCATAATTAGCCATCATTACATGACAATCATTGCTGCTATATAATTTATTAGCCGTAGATGATGCAGGCTTATATTCAGAACAACTGCAAGTGCCATATTGCTGTTGTTCAACAGTTATAAAAGCAGCTTATAGTCCTGGGAACCAATAAGCAACACCAAGATTATCATCTTCTGTGTATCTAAGCATTCATTTTGCTCCACTTACACCACTGGACATTGGTCAAGAAACCCAATCCTTTTGCTACCACTATGATTCAGAGGTACCTTCTTTATCAATCTATATGAAGACTGTCTTCTTTTATGTCAATGTATTCAGAACACCTCACACAGGTGGAGTGTTACCAGCTCTCATTGAATATCTCTTGTCCAGTCAGATCACTTGGCCGTCACTCCATGATGCACTAATTATTTTTTCAACATTGAATGAAATCCTTCAAACCCTTCTTTGTTCTGCTTCCCAGCCTGTAGACTACGAGAGCCGGAGCTCCTACTCCTTCTCCGTGGAGGTCCTTAACCCCATAGTGGACCCTCGCTTCCTGCGTCGAGGCCCCTTTAAGGACCGGGCGTCCATCAGAGTAGCAGTGCTGGATGCAGACGAGCCTCCGAGGTTCTCACGAGCTCGATACCACATGGACGTGTCTGAAAACTGCCCGCCAGCCTGCACTGTGGGCAGGGTCAGCGCTGTGGACCCAGATACTGGACTTACCAATAACATCAGGTACAATAATTAGCCCAGCAGCACTTTTATAGCATTACAAAAATCAGATGTGCTGTTATATTTCTGAAATATGTAGCTAATAAATTGTTTTTTGTAAGCTGTAGATCAAACTTTCAAAAACAAGTTCAGATGTATGAGCTTTTGAGCAGCTGTTGGTTAGATCTTTAGAATATATAATATATAATATATCTTTTTTGTCATTTAGCAGCTTTCAAATGGCCAAATTACTTTTTCACAGAGCCAGGCTCGCTGTTTACCATTCTTCTGTCGGGGTCAGCCTATGTTCCCACAGCCCAGTGGTGAAAAAAATATCAGAAATGTGGGAACATAGAGTTCCCACATTTCTGATATTTTTTTACTCTAACCCGAACCCTACCCTGTGGGAACATAGGGCCTAATTTTGAGAAAATTCTTAGAAATGTGGGAACATAGGGCTGACCCCCTCCCCTTCTGTCTAGTGATATGCTAAGCTAACAAGCTGCTAGCCCTAACCCTAACCCTTAAGCATGACAATATATTGAGTGTAAAGACATTTTAGAGGAACACATCTTTGAATGTAACTTTTCAGGGAAAAAAGTGTTTTATTCTCTTCTATTGAGTGGTGTTTTTTTTTAAGTTTTACTGCTCAGAGAAAAATCAAGCACCTTGTGCTGCTCTGAGTTATATGTTGTGTTTGTTCATTTGACATTTTCATGGAAAGGATTTGCTTTTCATTTTGTATTGATTTTTTTCAATCTCAGATAGGAGCATTGATAAGCAAAGAAATGTAGCCTGTATTGATTGAAATTGAAAATCACCTTTCTACAAACACAGAGATATGATCAAATAAAAATGAGCTGAGCAAACAACCACTCAGTGTTTCCCCTGCTGCTGACTGTAAGTGCAGACGTTTTTAGTTCTTTCACTTCTGTTTAGAATCTTTTTCTTTTTCAGAGCTTGAGGAGGAAGGCGAGCTATTTTTCTGTAACAACCACAGAAAGCTGTGCCCCAATTAGCAGCGGTTAAAGTGCTAAGAGTGAGTGTGTGGGGAGGAATGATAGTTGGTATACTCATAGAGATGTTTAGATAATCGGTGGCACTTCAAAAGAACTCCTATCAGCCGCGATAATCTCCCTATATTAATTCTTTGGCCATTTGAATGCAGACTTCCTTATCGGAGCTTCACACACTTGCCCTGCCTGCTTCTTTCACTCTGCACCCCTCTGTCATCTCTGCTGGCTTCTTCCCTTCACTCCGTCTTTTCCCCTCATTTCTTTTGCCTCCACCTTCCTTCTCTAAACACAACTATCTTTCTCCTGCCTTATTTCCTCTATTCCAGGTTCTCTATTGATCCTCAGTCAGACCCAGAGGCTCTGTTTCGTATCACTCCAGACACCGGCCTCATCACCACCGCCTCAGAGTTGGACCGGGAGCGCGAGCATTGGCATAACATTACTGTCATCGCCACGCAGAGAGGTCAGACGTCACTCATATTATTCCACTTCAAACTGCGACATCATTAGCTCACCTTTGAGAGTGAATCTTTTGAACAGATCCAACATTTTACCACTTATGACACCTGCGCCCACTGATGAGCAAGAGGGTGTAAGAGGTTTAAGGAAGTGTAAACCGTGTATTGTAAGGTATCTGAAAAGCACTGTGTGATGCACTCCACTAAGCGGCTTAGCGCTCGAATCATCAAGCCATGAGGGTAATGCTGTTTGGTGCCATAAATAGTTTGTAACAGCAGCCTGAGAGAATCAATTGATCTTTATTGTGTGGGTTATCTGATGCTGCAATAGATTTGTTCTTATAATGACTCAACTGGAAAGAAAGAATTAAAGCAACAAATCGAAGACAGATAGGGCTTTACAGACGGCATGGCTGCGAAGAAGAGCAGAAAAAGCCCTTCAGTTTCCAAGTAATGATACTTAATTTCAGTAAATACGAAGGCCCTTCACAGTTTTTATTTCAGCCAGGAATAAAAAACCACAAATGAACAAAGTAGCAGATTAAATGACCAACATAAGGCCTGTTTAGTGGCTCTTCTGGATCTTTTAAAGGTGAATAACTTGTGGTTGTTTTGTCAATGCGGTTTTTTAAGAATGAAGCAAGTGGACAGATGCTTTGAAAAAAAACATCAGTGATCATCCTGTTGAACCGGTGAAGGACATCAATAGAACGTTATAAAAACCATGTAAGCTATTTGAAGAGCCCACTTGAGAGCTAAGGTTGTGGCCTTTACGTTAAAAGATTGAAAGTTACAGACGGTGAAACCTCGAAACCGAGTGCAAGGCCAAAGAGTAAGACAGAAATGTTCAGACAGTAATACAACTCAACCTGTCAGTGAGGAGCCGTTCGGATCACCGGCACTTTAGCCTTGTCGCCATAAAAGGTGCAAAAGAAAACAAAATGAGATCTTTAAGAATGCTACTTAATAATGCATTTATACATTTCAGCTGAAAAGCCTCCAGGTTTTTACTTGAGCATTTGTTCTCGGATTGGTGTACACTAAAAGAGTATTTACTACAGCAGGAACATATTGTGTCATTCAAGGATCGCCCAAAGAAAACACAAGGCTACATTTATCTCATTTCAATGGAACTGCATGACACAGAGACATCAATGGAATCAGGCTTAGGCGGCAAGGACATGGTGGTTAATGAGACAAAATCCTTGAAACAGATATAAGATCCTCACTCATGTGTCCTTCAGCGAAAGTCTTTCTCTGTTAACAAGTAAGGCCTTGACTTCTAGTGTCTAAAACATATCTAGCTCTCTAACGGGTACTTCTTGTGGTTCTTCAAGCAATCCTTTATTTCTAAGAGGAAACAGGATGGATAGTGTTAGGTTCTTTTGGGCATGAACCAAACTAACCAAAGTGGGTGACGATCAAGAAACAGTCACATAAATCATGTGAGTGATTTCTTTCTGCTTACAGAGGTGCCAGTTTAGAGACTGCTCTTAGATTTACTGAATGGTTCATTTTGGAAGGCAGTGAAAAACCATCTATTCTCTTATTCTGACAGGATTAACGCCAGCCTTCAGCTGAGTCCTGGATACGTTCTTCGAGTCTCTTCTTGGCAGCTGATGTGCCATTATTTGGCTCTCCTCCTGAGTACACCCTAAAATAAAAAACAGTCACATTGGTTGGTGTAAAAGTGAAAGTATATTGTTGGAGAGAGCTGTCCAGTGTGCAGGGGAGAGATGTTGTTTTCCTGCCAAGTCCTGCTCGGGACAAACTTAATCCTTACTTAAAATCTACTCAGGGCTCCTTGTGGCAGCGGTGTTGGTCGGACTGTGGAGGCAGCACAGTGTATGCCTGTCTTGAATAATGAGCTCTATCTAATAAACAGGCTGTGTTGGCATAAAGCGCAGTAGGAGTTCCGCAGTGGCTGCGAGCAGGCCGGCTCACCCGGTGGCATTACAGCGAGAGCTCATTTTCAGCTTTTCAGCGATGGGAGCTGGTCGCTGTCATCCATGACACAGTGTTACATCTCTAAGTCTGCACAAACGCAGTGTAGAAGTGTGTGTGTGTGTGTGTGTGTGTGTGTGTGTGTGTTAGTTTACAGAAAGTGTGCCCCCCGCCCCCCTGTGTTGCAAGGTTGCCTGCTTGGATAAAAGAGTGAAGATTTGTGCCGAGGAGCCTGGATGGTGTCTGAGCCGTGGAGGAGCAGCCCTGAAATGGGATGTTGAATTTTCAGCTCAGAGTCTGACTCCGCGTTTCAAGCGTGGTTGTGAGAACTCCATGTTCGAGTGTGTGCATATCCAAATGAATGGGGTGTGGGAGACCCTCTGCCAATCCATTTAAACTGCGCTCTTGTGTAACTGCATGCAGATTGACTGCTTTCTACATCCCTCCTCTGCTCCCTCTCCCTCTTTCTCCTGCAGACTCGCACACACTCCATGCTGTTAGATGCTTTGGCTAAGAAGGGAACAGTTTGATGTGGAAAAATGTCACTGCTACGGAAGCATAAGAGCCTTTGAGCTGTAACACTAGCCAAATGAAACCAAATGCTTCTGCATATTTAGCCAATTGTGTTCTCCCTAATGTGATCTGAGTGTTGTTGAAGTTTCCGGACAACGCTGAAATGCTTGATCTCATTTATGAGGACAACTGAGTGGAATTAATGGAGTGCAAACCTGCACCTGTCGGAGAATTCCCTGGTGTTAGGTGCATTTGGGAACTGTGTTCATGTATTTTTCCACATATTGCTGTCTGCGGAGGGTGATGCATTGTAAAATGCCTTTTTCTGATTAACTCTTTCAGACAATCCCAACCAGGTGTCCAGAGTTGTGGTTGCAATAGAGACGTTAGACCTGAATGACAATGCACCGGAGCTGGACAGGCAATACACAACGGCCTTGTGTGACTCCTCATCCATCGGACAGGTCAGTATGTGTTTTTAATGACCTTTAATAACCTTTAATCTCACTGTTTTTTAGTCTGCACAAAGAGTTGTATTACAAAAATTGCATTTTAAATTTGCTATAAAAATCTGTTTTAACAGCATCTTTTCTGTATTATTATTCTGCTGGTACAAGCTTTTCTTTGTATGAAAATGGGGCAATCCCAGTGAAAATTGTTGCAGTCTATTAGTCCTCTTCCACTGCAGGAGCATAACAATACATAATTTGACATATAGCCCTTGTCAGAGCGTCTGCTTTTGTTTTCATGCCTCTCCTCCTACCTTGGGGACGAGTTCCTGGAACTAAATTTTGGCAACTGCTCATAGAATATTAAGAGGAATTTGAAGGTACTTTCAAGGGTTGTCTGCAGTGCAGAGGATTGTAATTTGTGAAGAAGACTAAAAGAACCTTGATACAAAACGCCCTCAACGGTTCATACAAAGTTCAGATTATGGAAAGCCTTAGGTTACGGTTGTCAGGTTCCTGTATTGGAAAAAGGACTGTATGTGTTGATGTTCTCCGGGTCAGATCTGGGGTGATGGGGGTTGATTAAAGTGCATTTTTGTTTGCCATAGGGCGTTCAATATTCCACCCAGACAGAGCCTAAGAAAGTTGTTTCTTTTTATCCATATTTAAATGCATATTTTAGATACACTAGCTACACACATAACAATACAATCGCAGCAGGTTAAATAACCACCTCCATTAAAGCTCCTACATCTGCACAGTGATTGAATGATGATTAATCTACATTTTCATGGTCCAAGGAGGATGAATCGTGTTGACATTCATGATCCTGTCATCCATGTGCATGGCTGTACAGTGAGATGTTCCCACATCTGTTGGAACTATTGACATTCATTTTTGTTCAGACGTTCATGGTCCACAGAGAGAGGATCATTATGGCAGTTGACCCCCTTGTCATTTCCTTTACATCAACCACTGGCATTAAATTTGAGCTTTTCACTGAATAATCAGGCAACTATTGAATGGACTACCATTCAAATGCAATACACATATTCATGATCAATACAAAAGTTGGAGGTTAACTTCCAATTTCAGTGAGCAAAGTTTGATCTATGAACAAATACCTGCAAAACCAATGACCAACCATCGTCTCCCTGAGGTGTACTTCATGTTGACTTCTAATCAGCTGCTATTATGCTTATCCTAACAGGAACACCTAACCCTAAATTGGCTAGCATGGACAATGTTAGCCTGTTAGCATGTAGAGAGCCACACAGATTAGCTATTAGCATGACTTTTGGCTTTTCTTTTTAATTTCTATGCTATCAGGGCTTTTGTCTACTAATGGCTTTTCTTTTTTGCACTGGCAGTGATGGTAACCTCAATATCAGAGTGCATCTCACCAGCGTTTACTGTTACTAGCTTACAAAAATTGTCTCATAGCACTTACTCTTCCCTCAGTAGTGACCAAGATTTATCTTTTGAATTAGATAAAGACAGCAGCTAATCTGACTCTGACTTCTCCCCCATTGTTATTTATAAAGTTTCTATCTGAAGTCCCGTCCCTTTCTGACTTTGGTTGGTCAGTAAAGTGACATTAAGAGGCACGACACTGTTCCAAAAGTTGCACTTCTTTCATCTGAGAGTACTGTGAGAGCAGCGTCAAAAGACAGCTAACGCTAAAGAAGCTGAGCGCTGAAAAACACTGAAATGCATTAGTTTTGTATCACATGGGTGCTGCCAGGACAGAAAAAAGGTGTTACTAGACACATGCAATTTTGATAAAATATTAACAAACTGTTATTGTGGTATATTTTTTACTCTGTAAACATGTTAGTATGCCAATGTTGAGTACAGCCTCAGAAAGCCGCTAGCAAGGCTGACAAGTCTTCCTAAAATTCTGTGCTTATAAAATGTTTGCCCTTAAAGTACAATGTATGTAACACACAGAGGGATAAAACATTCACCTTGAGTTAGGATTAGAGTTGCCATTCTTGTTACTACGACGGCAGGAATACAAAAACATCCTCATCTTACAAGTTCCATGTTGTCAGTTGTCGAGCGTTAGTTTCCTTTTATTTCTCACAGCGGCGTCGTCTTTTAAGAAACATGCAGCACATCAAGGCTGCTTCCATTCAAATCAGGAAGAAGCCACACCTGTTAAAGTATAGGACAACTGGAGTGCTATGGTATATCTTTTCTACACACAGCCACCGTGTGTGCTTTCACCATGGAGGCAGGTGAATCCTCCACGGCCTGTTATCTGAACGCAGCAGCTATTCACATAGTAATTAAACTCCCCTTTCCTCACACACTATCTCCCTCCCTCCCGCCATCGCTTTATTCGTGGTATTCTCTATTTCCCTGCGTCATGCTGCTCTTATTTGATGCTTTCTCAATTATAGAAATAATCTCTGTGCCCCTCAATCAATCCTTGGAAAGCATCCTCTTGCTCTCCTCTCCAGCTTCTGCGTTCCATGCTGGTTACGTCGCCATAATTTGGCATCTTGGCCCATCTGTTGTTGTTCCTTGTGCTTTTGTCGCTCTGCTTGTGTCTTTTTTTGTTGTTGTTGTTTTGCCACCAAATCTGTGATTCTATGGCAGCGGCATTAATTTGTTCCCGCCTGTGATGTTTATGTTTGTGGTTTTTTGTGTGCCGCTATGTGACTGAGTGGGAGACAGTTCAAGAAAGAAAGATTATGATATCTTTGCATGTGTTTCTGCGTTTGTGTATGCATGTCTCAGTGTGACAAGTCATTAGCCAAGAAGACGTCTGAAAAGTCGCACACGGGATCTGATAACGTAATGCGGCTGTACATAACAAATCTCTTCAAGGCCCAGAGTCTGTGACTTACTCGTGGAGAGCATGTGACACCCTTCATCTTGGCATTGGAAAGCATCTCTGAAAGGACGTCCTGCATAATGGCGAATAGAGTTTTTTCATTAAAAAAAGAAATTACCCATCAGCTTAGGCAGCATGAGGTTTTTTTAAATTAATTTTGTTACAAATGCCTCTGCAGACTTGTGCGATTTTATTACTGAACAGAAAGCCACACTACACTGTATCCATGAAGGACACTTTGAGTCAGATACAGTTATTTTATCGGTTTGAGTATCACTCGCACTCCACTCGTGTCTTTGCGCTAATTGTTCGGCTTGTTTTGACGTCGGCTAATGGATTGGAGCTAAAAGCCCTCTCTCTGCGTTTATATTTCTCCCATTATCTTCTTTTTTCCCCTCCTCTGCGCTCTCTGTTTCCCCTCCACACACACACACACACACACACACACAAACACACACATTGACAGCCTCCCCTCACCGTATCTCCTCTGCTCTCTATCTCTGTGTTTCAGGTGGTGCAGGTGTTGCGGGCAATTGATAGAGATGAGGGAGGGAATGACAGCACCGTGTATTTCAGCATCCCTCCGGAGTCCAGCGTTGCTCTCAACTTCAGCGTCAGGGACAGCGGGGGTAGGCACTCCATCTTTCTGTCTATATATATTTCTCTTAATTCCCTTTTTTTATGTTCTTGCGGTGTTTCCCCCCCCCCCACTTTTTAAGGCTCTTAATCCCACATTTTCTTTACGCCTTTCTCTTTCCATCTTCATCTCTGCTCATACTCTCTTTCTTTTCCCTTCTCCTCTTCTCCTCTTCTCTCTACCTCCCCCTCTACTCTTTCTGTCCCTGCCTCTCTCTTCCACCATCCATCTCCCAACTCTGGTGGCCTCATTGTTTTGCTTTGTTATCCTCCTCTCTTTTAATCGTCCCTCTTGTTTGCCTTCCCATATCCACTACATCCATCTTCTCCTCCACACAACCGCGCACACTTGCTGTTTCCAATGAAACGCTTTGAAGAAATTTGAGCTGCTTCATTTAATTCACTTCAACTCAATTGAATTTAGCTACTTAGTTTTTTTGTTTTTTTTTCTGGTACATTCTCTGTACGTGTGGCTTTCTCAGGCTCCTGTACTGCACAAAAACACCTACACACTGTACTGTTCATACTGCAAGTAAACGAAATAAGAAGTAAAGTAATAAAAAAAAGCGATACACTACTGATTATTCATCGTTCAAGTCATCAAGGTTAAACATAAGAGATTATATTTACTCGATAAAACGTTTAACATCAGCATTTTAGTGTATAAAAAGACACAATCACTGGTTCATTTTCTGGCTAATAAGCATCACTTGTTGAGTTTTCCTGTAAACAAACACAAACAAACACAGTTATGTTTGCACTCCGTGTTTCTTGGCAAAACATATTGTTTATATCCTTGAGGCCTCACAAACATGCTGAATAAAACATAACACATTTGCTCTGCTGATGTTTTTGAATATTTTTGAAGCATGCACCATTTACAGTACAGCAAGTCGCTGATTTCATCAGCTTGTAGTCTTCTTCTCTGGGCTGCATTTCAGCGACAGACGGTCAATTGGTGGAAAAGCAGGAACCTTGGTGCGCTCACATGGACTACACATTTGCATTACTGCTGTCGGCAGCTGGCAGAAATACACATCACAAACATTGCAGCAGCAACGGTTAAATACTAAAGGGAACGATGCCGGCGAGCTAATACAGGAAGTCATGTCACGCTACACTGTTAGACATTTAAGACATGGCTCCTTCTCCTCAAACATGAATCGAACACACCTCGTCCACATTTGGAGTCTTATTTAAAGATACAATACGTAGATTCCACCACCAGGGGGCTCTCAATCAATACTTCAATAACAAAAAATGACGTTGATGGTTGAAGCTAGCAGGTAATCATGGGACTTCTCTCTGCTTTCAGTGCGTCCTTGTGTAGCGGTCTTTTACGTAACAGCCGGTGTTTCCACAGCAACGATAAACATTCTGTCTGTCATGGCGGCTCATCATGGCGGCCACCTCGACAACACACGTCCCTTTACAACTATAAAATTACGAAGTTCTCTGGTTTTGATAACTGTTGGAAATATTTGAGGTAATGTTAGTAAGAACATACAACATGGGTTAAGTAGTCCATTTTTAATGAAGTAAGATGTTTAAATGTAAATATTGTCATAAGTTCAACATATTGCACGTTTAATTTGCAAGATTTCTGAACAGTCCCTTTTTTCTGTCAATGCACTGATGCCATGATTTGTACTGTGCTTGTTCATCCAAACACTCCAGCATCCTCCTGCTTGCCTCCAGCCAAGGGAGTTACGATTGTATGTCATCACTCCTTGAATGTCAGTGTGTAAAGCAGATATGCAAGGAGCAAAGACTGTTTAAACATGTACATGGTCTCAGTGACATCATCAATTGGTGTAGAGTTTTGTAGCCCATCGATGGCGGTATTGGAAATGCTGCCTCACCCTAACTTTCAGTCCACCCATTAACAGGCAAGAGGTGGAACTGAGAAGAGCTGTTGGCCTCCTGGAAACAGCTTCGCCTGTCAGTCATATGCTATATTTAATTATCCACGACACAAGCATATTCCATTGTTTACTACTGCACATAGGGCACATGAGGAATGTGTTTGTTTTGGTCTCCACTAGCTCTTAAGCTGGACAAGTAGGTAATGGGAGGCTTATCAGACTTGTTTAGATAAATGACCTGCCTGCTGTGATTGGAAACTTGGTTTTATTTTGGCGTTAAATCAATTTGCATGCCATAAAGCCAAATAAGTCTGCTAATTAACCCTCAAATGTTTTACACAAAACAATTCTCTGTTGGCTCATTGAGCAATTCCTTTCACATTACATGTTGATATTTCAGTTTGTGCAAGTTAATGCAGATTGCATTTTCTTTGAAATGCAATCTGCATTTGTCTGTGTCTTTTCTGGCAGCTGCCATGACACAGCCGCCATGGCAGACTCAACATGTTGGAAACACCAGATGTAACGTCAAAGACCGCTGCATAAGGAAGCGGGGACTGCTCGAAAGCCGCCATACTGTTGCTATATGTTTTGCTGTTGTAAAAAGGTCATGTAAATTATACTTGGAAACATCTTCGGTAAACATATTCTCTTCCTCAGGTCGGTTTTGCCCGTTCGTCTCGACTGCGGTCAACTGGGAGTTAATTTCGTCAGGCGTGGGGGGTGGAGTAGGAGAGAGAATCACTCCCATGATTCCCCGCCAGCCTTGACATCATCTTTTGTTGTTGTTTTGATTAAGAGCCCCCTGGTGGAGGAATTTCCATACTGTGCATTTAAACACTCATTTGCTCTATTAGGACTATCTTTCTGCTAATTGTTCCTAAATTTGGCAAACCATGAGAAACACACCAGCTCTGGTTGGACTGTGGCTCCAGAGAACAAATTGACTGACATCTGCAATCAGAGCCCTCTCTCATGTGTCATCCAACAGGAAAACAGTGAAAAAGAACATGTTTTGTTCTTACAGGGAGAGCTTTTCTAACAAAGGCGGGCTACATGATTTTCTTTGCTAAAAAGCTAATGATTTGATCTGTGATTTGGATCAGAGGAAATTGTTTTGATAATTGAGTTGAGTGCCTTTCATACTGATCTGATATTTTCCACACTCTGCTTTGTGCCCTCTCCTCTTAAGTTGTTGTTTTATATGTTGCGTAGCTCATTTAATGTTGATGAAACATAAAAAAAAAATATCTCCAACATTGACACTTCACATTTCCTTCGCTCAAAGGTAACAGAAGTCAGACTGACAGAGTCCATTATCTGTTCTCGGTGTGAAATTGGTCCATGCCCGCCTCTTGTTATTGGAAAAAAATGGATGTAAGATGAAAGTTGTGTGGGCTCATGACATGATCCATGTCTGAAGAAACACTTAAATCGTGTACAGCACTTACAGCTTTGTTCTGCACATACTGGCTTTCAGTCAGAACCAGTGTGAGCTGACAGGTGTTTTAAATTTGACAGTTTTCCCACGCGGGCAGAATTAATGACAGCACTTTTAAATTTAAAAACATTTTATGATTTTATGTTTATATTTTTAAGTCAATTAGGAGCCATAGCATAAAAAATGACTTGCAAAAACTAGCTATTTAACCATAAACTTATGAGAAAATATTTTCAAAGGTTATAATATACCCTTCTGGTTCCCTTCCAGACAAGTGGTCATCTTTTTGCAACCATTGCAATTGCCCCCTGCAGGCCATTACAAAGAATACAGTTGTAGCATTTACTCACTGGCCATTTTCCTCTGACAAAATGCTCAGTGTGGGAAGCTTTATCGTTGATTGGCTAAGCCCAAAATACTCCAACGATGGCCCCATTCATTCTCTCTGTCTATCTTCTTTCAGGCCCCACAGCCAGCCTGGTCCTGCTGTCCCAGCTCCAGCCCCTGTCTCGCTCCGCGTACTCCACCCTGACGCTCTACGTTCCGCTGGTCCTGAGGGACGGGACATCAGGCCTCATCAGCAGCGGGACGGTCACGGTCTCCGTATGTCCCTGCCTGAGAGGAGGGGCGCGAGCCGGGGAGAAAGAGAAGGACAAACAGGCTGAGGGCGAGTGGGACTGGGAACGTGAGGCGGTGTGTCTCCCTCAGCAGTCAACGCTGCCCTCCCCTGGGCTCAGTACTGCCGCCCTGCTGGCTATTCTGGCATGTGTTGCTACACTGTTAGGTAAATAGCTCGTTTGAACCTGGTTTTCAACATACATTTTAATGATGTTTGGGATCACTGTAAGACCATAATGTAAATGAAAACATAAAGAAATGTTATATGGGCTAGTTTTGGTCACTCACTAAGCTATATGATGTTTTTTTTTTTTTTTTTACAACAGTGTTAAGTATTATTAACCAAGTGAAGTTATATCATAAAGATGCATTGCATATAAAGGAGGTTAATGCTACTCCACAGAAAAAAAGAATAAATTGTGTTAAAGGCTGTTTACCCTTCGCTACATCCCTGGATACTTAATCTGCATATGAAAATAATGGAGGCAGCAATGTAAATATTTCTCCCAGTCACAGCTGCTCAATACCAGGTTTACTTTTCCTCACAATTCTGGTCCAGTTATCTCCTCTGGCAAGGTCAGCACTAATCACTGCTAAAATAACAACTCTGAGTGATTATCCGAGCCCTCCGGTTTTTGATAGCGGCATAATAAAATGTCACTGCCACCTTTGCAGAAACTCAAATGCTCAATTGGATAATGTGTTAGGTGCTGAGGAGGCTTTGGCTTGTGGCCAGCATCATTGTCATTTCTATTCAGTCTGTTGGATCACTACTCATGCCGTGTTGATGGAGGCATTATCATTCTGGTAGAGCCCGGTTCAATCAAGACAGAGGTGCAACACAGCGTGAAGGTGATCATGCAAAGTGGCTTTTGGAGGAGTTTAGAATTCACTCCTCTAAGTGACAAGGGCATAAACGATACAAGGCAATACACACGACTTTAGAGCAATCACATCAAGTCTGTCGTTTTTAAATAGACTTGACGTTTGTTCCAGTGCTGTCTTGTTGTTCTTGTCTGTAAGACTTCCTTACTAATCCAGACCTATATAACTGGGACCGCCATGATTCAAGATGTTCCTACAGAAGCTCTGACAGTAGCCCCATCAGGATCCCGTCTGGTTATTAAAAAGGGGCTTGGCATGCATAAGGTGGATATCACACCATTTGGTAGGCAGTCTTAGTTTAAGCCTCCTGGATGGAGATTCTAATGAAGACAGAAATACATGTTCATTCTGGCATGAAGAGGCTCCCTCAACCCTGTTACATGGATTAGACATTCCTCACTCCTTTCAGCCATCATTTGATTAGATCCAAGGAAATCCAATAGTGCAAATGATGCAGTTCCATCCAGGGTGCTTCAATGTAGACACCCAAGCACATAAACGTGTTACCAACTATTCCTGGGTAGAGTAGGATTGACAGGTCATCTCCACAAGATGAACCGTTAGCATGGAGCTTTGCAAAAACTGGCTTACTAAACCAGTTCAGTCAGGAACACTTTCATCATACATTTAACCATTTTAATACAAAACTGGAAATACAGTTTTGCTTGGCGTTGAAGGCTCTGCTTGAAGGATGCTTTCTGGGTTAGCCTAGCAGCATGCCACAGCTTTTAGACCCCCGTGCAAGGATGAACCAAAGGCTTGATGCAGAAAGAAGGCAGCTGGGGATATGATGGCAAAAGCTTTGCTAGCAGCAGGTTGTGTGCAGCATTGGTGTAGCAGAGATTAGTGAGATGGAAGTTGAGTTTAAATGGACCGCCTTGATGTGAGAATGAGCTGTGATTGGTGTGTTAGTGTGATTAGAGGTAATAATTCAATCAGCAGGCTGTGAGCTGATAGGGTTGGCACCTTTCAAGCAGAAAAATAAAGGACACCCCGCAGCTGGGTGCGACTCAGTAGGGGCCTGACCACCACTGACCAGTTGTGGTGAATCATGATTTAAAACGTTGTTTTAATTAAGTATTAAGAGTCATACTTAAAGTTTTAAGTGCTTTATTAACACTTTTTTTCTTGAAATAATTTACAAAAACACAAAAATTCAGTGTAAAGGCAGATACAGTAATGTATGCACAATGAAATGCAGCTAACAGGACTTCAGCAGATGATTACTACTAGCTAGGCCTATTTAATTTACAACTTAACTTAAACTTCAAATAAAGTTATTAACTTAACATTAATTCATTAACAGAGTATTATTGAAGTGCTTTTGACACTGCTGTAACATAGAGGGGAGCAGTAAGATGATAGATTTAAAAACAGTACGAATTTAACAGTATTTTTATTCATTTATTCTGTCCTTCTGTCTGTCGTTTTTGTTGTTTTCTCATGAAATCATGAATGATACTATTAATATGGTTTTGAACTATTTTCTTATTGTATTCATTAAGTGTCTACTGTTGATATATTGATGTTGTATTGATGATATCTCGCCCAGGCCATAGTGTGAATACAGATTAGGCTAAAATAAATGTCATCTTTTTGTTTTATGTATCGAAAAATATTCACACTATCCAAACTATACTGGAATAACCTATCTATAAACATGGAGAAATATATTAAGTAGGCCTACAATAGTTTCCTTTACATTATATTCATTTTCACTGACACTGTCAAGCCAGGCATTACTTTTGCACTCTCGTCTGTATTTCTGCATCAGTTTACGTTTCAATGGTGCACGGTGCAGGTATCAGAGACATCTGCAGACATGTTTCCTTCTGACTCCAATGACTTTCTCTCACCCAATCACTAAAGAGCTCTCATTGCTCATGCCAAAAAAGAACCAAACAAACCAACGGACGCTCCGAGGAGGCGGGAACTAGCCGGCTGAGTGATGCTGAGTTCAAGGCATCTTGGAAATACGGGACAAACTGCATCCCGTACTGATTCAAAACGGGACGCAATATCAAAGTGAAAAATACGGGACGATTCCGTATTTTACGTGACGGGTGGCAACCCTATGTGCTGATAACACCTGGGGCGTTTGACTTCCGTGTCCTGAATGAACTAACAGAAAGCTTCATGTCTCATAACTCTAAGCAGCATTACTTCCAAAGCTAGTTGGATCAAATTGGTAAGCTGCATTGTTTTTGTAGGCTTACAGGTTACTTTTACTAACCAAACATCCACCAAGCTGGAACCAACATGCTGGTATTTTATAGTTACATTAATGCTATCTGCTTTGTCTTGCTTTAGAACCTTTGACAGAGTTCTCATTTTAAAATGAATCCGCTTAAAACATTACATTTAATCAGAAACCAACTCGTAAAAATCGACCTGGCTTCAACCTGCCTTTATAAACCAGGAACAAAAAGCTTTCTTTTATTGGCCTCCTTGTTGACTGAAAGACCCATTAATTTAAGAAATGCTGCAAATTTAGAATTTTGATTTTGGGGTTGTAGTCAAGAGTGCTGCAGACATGATAAGTGTCTTGTTAACTTGAGTCTCGTTGTCTTGTTCATTTTTGGATAAGATAGCTGAAAAGTAACCTTAAAAGTTATGCTAATCTTTTCTCCCAAGGTTAAACTAACAGGAGACGAGCGCTTGAGCTTACTGCTGACAAAGCTGCAACCACAGCGAGACATCAGTTCAGACCTTCAAATGACTTTTACCTGACGGCTGAGAAACTCTCAAATCGAACATCATAACCTTGAGCTTTACCAAAAATAAATACATGATCCTACAGCAACAACAAAAACACCAACTTGTATATAGTTTGTGATGATAGCAATGAAATAGGAATATAGATTATCAATTTATTGAGTTACAGATAAACTATACAGCAAATGTAAATGTACAAACACAGATCAACACAACTTGGCTCCCAGAGCAGAAGATCATTTGCCAAAGCATCTACAAACAATTTCTTCGTTTTCCAATGCAGGAAATTCACTTAATTCACTAAAATGATAAAAAAAGAGACGAGCTCCCCCAGACCCGAATCCTCATGCAGCAGATCCCAAGCTGCAGGAACAGCGTGCCCGAAACCCCTTTACCCCATTTCTTAACGCACTTTGGGATCAGATAACAAGAATACGTTTTGCTACTGGGTTGCAGAGCAAAAACTGTAGCTTCCAAACATTCTTTAAATAAATAAAATTACATACAGTAAGTATGAGGGAAGCAAGATGATGGTTTTGTCTGAGAGTGGTCAGGCTGGACAAATTGAGCATACCTAGATCAATGATGAGTTAGGGCCTTGAGATGTGTGATGAACATCAATGCTCCATGGTGAACACTATCCAAACAGTGAAGGCATTGAGAAGATATTAATCTTGTATTAATATACTGTATAATGTACTGTATAAAACATCACCATAGTTGATCTGGGGCATAACGTTTGGTTAATTAGGGGATCAAAAATATTTGGAAAGGTTTAGTGAAAAGATCATCTGTCAACAGAGCTGTCATCAATCAGCGGAGGTGGGCAGCGCAAGTTGGTCGTGGTAGGTCACAGGATTGCCATCAGCTAACATTTATACAGCTGCACAGAAACTACATAGATATTTAAAACCTTTTTTCTCGCTTGGAGACCCCCCCCAGAACAGATTGTGTCTTCTACAACAGTGTGACTTATAGCCCAGATTTTACAGAAATTAAAAGTAAACTTCTCCATGAAATCAACACTTGGACATAAACCCACATATTACAATGAATTTTGATCACAGAACCAATGTTTAAGAAAACTTTATTTGACATGTATTTTAAGTTTCGAATGTGCATGTAATTTCTGTTAACATGGAGGAGGCGGAGCTTATGACCTATGCTGCAGCCAGTCAGAAGGGGGAGCTCCAAATGTTTCACTTTTTGGGAGCTGTCATCCGTCTTTTAGTACAGCGCAAGGTTTAACATTTGACTTCGATATCTCCTGGATTAAAGAGACACATCATTAGGACCTCCACTATGTGGGTGACATTGTGTGTTTGAGGTAAAATAATTGATACAAGTCATGTTCATGGTTTTACTGTGTCATTTCTTATTGGAATTATTAAATTTATCATCAATATTGCAGTATAGTTTTAAAATAGCAGACAAAACCCATCTGTCAGGGTGGATTTATCACAGGTAGCCCTTATGACATCTGTCACAGAGACACAATAGCATGATTCTAAGCCCACAGCCCTGGGTCAAATGTGGCTGTCTTGCTCTGGGAATATGGGATAAGAGTCATGGAGTCATGGGAGAATAAAGCATCCATTTGCCTGGCTGGAGCTCAATGTCAATTACACAGCGGAGGCATGCAGCCTGCTGATATGATGTACCAGCCCTCTAACCCAAGGCCTCTTCTGTATTTGTTTTGTCTCACCTCTCTTTGTCTGCCTCAAATTTTCTCCCCTGCTCACTCCTTCATTTTACCCCTTCTCTTTATTTCCCCTGTGACTTCATCCCCTTCCCCATTGTTCATCATTTTTACCAATTTCTCTCCTATGCTCAATATCCTTTACCCCCTCTAACTCCTCTGCAGCGGTGAGTGCCCTGTCATTGTCCCTGCGCCGTCAGAAGCGTGACTCCCTGTCGCCGCTGGAGGAGGACGACGTACGCGAGAACATCATAACCTATGATGATGAGGGTGGGGGCGAGGCCGACACTGCTGCCTTTGACATTGCCGCACTCCAGAGTGCTCCACACAGCTCCCGCTCACGGGGCTATCGCACACTGGACAGCAGGAATATGTGAGTAGTAGGAGTGCGTAGTTTGTGGGAGAATCTGTTAACATGTTGTGATTCTTGTTGTTTAATTGCGTCAAACATCGTGGCTGGCTCTCATACTCTACAGGAAGTCAGGAAATGTACAGACTGACCTCTTCAGAGAAAAACTTTCATCTCAGTCCAGAAACTTCAGTGTCTGACTGAGCATGAACACCCCGGTCATAATCTGTCACCGATCAAAATGCTGAGACAGAAGGCTATCAAGCGCTGCAGTCCATGGAGACCCCTTTGTTGTGCTCATTTTGTTAAAGCGCGTTTATTCTCTGCTACATCAGAGTTGTTTGCACCCACTTTGATGTTTCTCAGAAACATTGTTTTTGCCTTTGGACTAATAATTAAACACGATGAATTCATTCTCGCCATATGGGGAGACCATAAACAAGTTCAAAGGCTGCCTTTAGTTTATCGGAAATTGCTTTCCACAATTTATGAAGGTGGACAGAACAACACTAAAAACCTTTCTAAATCTAATGCAATCCCCTGCAACATCCCTGCAATATATAAAACACCTTTCTTAAGTTTTTAATATTTCATTTTTCTTGAACTGATACTGAGGAGTGGATAGTTAAAATATTTGTTACTTTGAAACGGGAAAATGCGATGTTGGAGAATCGCACCAAATGAATTCTTGAATTCTTGTTTGCTGGTCTTGAGGAGTAACAGCGGCGCTATAATGACCTCTGACCTCTTTTGAGTCTGAGAAAGAAACCCTGATGATGTCGTCAGGGTTTGCTTGGATTGGGCTTGAAGATGATTTCTTAACTGAATACCTATGTAACGGCTTTGAGCCTTCTTACGTATGAGTAAAAATCAGGATGTCTTTGCTCTGCGTACATTGCATGCGTCAAAATAGGTGTTTTACTTTTATTAATATTCTTTTGGACACCTGAAGATTTATTTTCCATGGTCCAAAAATGTACAGAAATATGGAAATGTTTTAACACCAGTAATCAGACATTAAGAGCACAATATGTAGGTAAAGGACACAATTATTACATTCTTTGTGTTTGAAGTGTTTTGGTTTTAATGAATAGTTTGAGCAATATTCTCCAACCATGTTTCTAAAGGGATTCATTTGTATGCAAGGAAACAGATTGGAGAGCAAAAAATGCAGATTGTATAGGCTGTAATGCAATTGGTTACCGTGAACAATTAAACATATTATCATTGTCTGTAATCAGATATTTGCATATAGATGTAGATAACAATACATTGTAAATTTGTCAAGCCAATTCCATTCTTACAGTTCAACTTGCAAGTGGAACTACAGTGACCATTGTCAGTTTTCCTCAGAGGCTATGTAGTTGTCAGCTGAAAGCCAGTTTGTTCCAAGATTGCAACATAAGGGCCAGTTAGAGTCAACAAATGTATTTCTTTGTGAACCCTTCTAATATTGGTCCTAACCCCCTGGTCCACTGAGAAATATGGTCTCTGGTCTTAAAACACTCTTTAAATGACCAGAGACCTTTTGTCTTTGTGGGCCATGGTGGTAAACAAATAAAATAATAATAGTCTTATTCCCAGCATAGACCTTTACTAACTGTCACGTTTCATTGTTTGCTGTTGAATATGGTGAAAAATGCCACAAAAACAACATGACGTACAAGAGTTAAATGTAGATTCCACCCTGTGTTTTACAGACGTTACACCCAACGAAATCAAGAAAAAGCTCGTACCTACAGCTGGGCTCAGAACCCAGGTGTCGAACACAACTATTCAGGACCAGGAGGTCCACTGTATGGTCGCCTCTGTTACAGCAGCCACACATTACCGGTGCTTCGGCGCACACCAGGTGGAACATTTGAGCCAGGCCTGGCAGAAATAGGATACCGCTTTCCTGCAGGCCATCCAGACCACTCTCTGGTCATCCAGAACCAGGGGGCCATGGTGGGGCCAATGGAATCTGGGGCGGTGTATATAACCCCAACGGACCTCAGCACAGGAAGCCGAACAGGAAGTCGAACGGGAAGCCGTGATGGTACTGCACCCCATAGTGGCACATCAGATGGAGGTACACCAAGGACCAGCGACAGCCAGGACAGAGGAGGGGGTACAGGAACTGCCAGCAACTGTACAGAGGGAAGCAATGAGGACAAAGGGAACCATAGTCAAGATGTGGACTGGGTAAGGATCACAATGAACTCACTTTCAAACCTGGATGGATAAGTGGCTGGATGGATGGATGAGTAGATAGATAGATAGATAGATAGATAGATAGATAGATTCTTTATTATCATTGTATACAAGGACACAACCAAACTTCGTTAGCAGCAATCCTAAACAGCAGCGTTTACAAAAACAACAACAAAAATATATTTGTGATATGAAAGAGAAATATGCAAAAAGTGGCCAGAGCAATTGCTGTTCAGTGAATGAATGATAATAATAATAAATAAATAGACAGTTGTGGTGACTGAAAGAATATATACAGTTATTATTTTTGCAGTGACTGAATAATTAAACAAATATATAGAGAGAGAATGACGGAGATGGATGTATAAGTAGATGGATATTGAAAGATGAGTAGTTGGGTGGATGGATAAAAGAATGGATGAGCAGATGTATGAATGCACAGATATTTAGCCAGATGTTTAAGGAAACAGACGTGAGAAATGTTGCATTGAATAATGATTCAAAATAAATAAATGAAGTGGTTAATGATAGATGGCGAGCATTGGAGAACGCATTAAAGTTTAATGAATGACTCAATTATTCAATTAAATAAGCAAACAAGAATGTTAGAAAGTAATTAGGCAGATATAAAATAATAATAAAGTTTGCTTTCAACCATACATACTATATAATTGCGGAGACTGCAGCTCTGTTATAGCAGCAGAAGTATGTGGTTCAATGCTTGGAGAAAAAGATGATTCAGAGATATCAGCACATTTATGTCCTGCTCTTCATTCTCTTTTCTATGATTTGTTTTATTTATTAGACCATCGAAAGGCTCTCAAGTCCCTGCTTTATTTAATTTTCAAATATTTTATCTCCCGATCCCTTCCCTCTCCATCTCCCTCTCACAGTGCAGTGTTAGCTCATTTTAGCATCCAATTAATATATGGCTTCTTCCAACTCTGCTTTTCTTCTGCTCTTTTCTGCTCATCGCCTGTCTGTTCCTTTTCTCAATCACTTTTTTATCATTACCATCCCCTGCTTATTCTCCATAATATGTCCCCCCCCTCCATCTTATTACTCCTTTTATTAAATTACCCTACCCTTTATTAACTACCCTTCATTCCCTGTTTGTGTATCCAAAACGAAACCTAACAGTACCACACCCGTCCCCAGCCCCAAACTGAAACCACTCGTGCTCACCTACGTCCCCTCCAGGTGCAGTCGGAAACATTACCCAGGGAGCACAACCTCGTCATGACCCGATCTGGCTCCCTGATGGGCCCGGGTCACAGTAGCGGAGGCTGGGTTTGCGACTCAGCTACCCTCCCTTTGGCCGGACGCAGGGCCTCCCGCTCCGGCTTGTCCCCGAAACACACGGGCTCTGTGCAGGCCGAATCTGACTCCGGTGGAGGAGGAGGAGGAGGCGCTGGTGGAGGGGGGAGTGGAAATGGGGGCACCTCCACAGACGGACAACCTGCCAGTAGACGCAACTACGCCACTGTCCAGCATGGAGAGGTGTCTGGACACGGGGACTACCCAGGCAGCTTGGGGAGAGGAGGACTGGAGATGGGGAGCAACTTTGTGGTGGCTAGGCCAGACAGGGAGGGCGGGGGGATATCATCGGTCTACCCTGAAGCAGCTGGCTTTATCGGAGACTGGCGTGATCGGATGGGTCTGGGTGGGTATGTTTTGGGCAGGAGGGATATCAGCCCCCAGTTGTTTCCCTTCCATGGGCAGCATCAGGGGGCCTACGGAGGAGTGATGGGCTTTGGAGCCAGCTGGGTCCCTGGGATGGAGGCAGCAAGAGGAGCACACGGGCCCGGGGGTCCCTCTTTGGCACTGAGGGTGGGTGAGTTCCTCCGCCTGCGTCTCGCCCAGGTCACTTTTGACCCTTCGCAGCCGCCGTACGACTCTGTGCAGGTGTACGGCCTGGAGGGCACAGGGTCCCGGGCTGGATCTCTCAGCTCCCTGGAAGTGAAGGAGAAAAGGATACGGAGAAGGAGGAGTGGGGGGCAGGGCTGGAGGAGTGGGGTCCACAATTCCAGAAGTTAGCCCACCTTTTTAAAGAAAGAGAGAAAGAAAAGGATGAGAAGGAAAACGTTGAAGACGGGGCCGTAAAAGGGAAGGAAAAGAAGAAAGAGAAGGAAAAGAAAGACACAAAAGAGGGAAGAGAGAGGGCTGCAGATGAGGAAAAAGATTGAGGGAGGATAAAAATGAAACAAATAGGGGCAAAAGGGGGCAAAAGAGGAAGGGGGAAAATGGGAGGATGATGAAAAGGCAACCAGAGCTCGAATAATGCGAAGAGAAGTTAAAGGAGAGAAAGATGAAGAGGCAAAGTAATAAAAAGAGACAGAGAAAAATGAGCCTGGGGAGGGTGGAGAAGGCGAGGGCAGGGGAGGGAGTGATTGATGTAATTTAAAGCAATAAGTGTTGAAACGCTGATATGGTTGAGCACAGATACTGAGACACTGCAGAGGCTGCTTCTGCTCGGGGCAGCAACAATTTGTTAAATGCTTTGGACAAAGAAAAACAACCCAAACATCCAGGACTCGGTTTAATTCAGCTCTCACGTATGGAATAAGAAACAGTGGGAAACAAGAAGAGAGACGTTTCAGGGCGTGTGTGTTTGGTCTGCTGCCTCCTGTGTCTGCACGTGTGTTTGTGTGCGAGAGAAGTGTGTGACGGATGATTGAAGTGCATAGACGCACATGTATGCAAGAGTGTATGTGTGTGCACATTGAACAAAGGCAGAGAATGGAGAAATAATTATACTAAGAGGCAAGATGGAGACGAGACTGATGACAACAAAAGCTGCAACATTACTTTTCGGGACAATGTGCAAAAGTGAACACAAAAAAAATAAGTTAAGAAAGTAGGATAACACACAGGGGATTTAATATATATTTGAGTACAAAGTAAACAAGAGGGCGATGGATGAGATGGGATGGAGAGAAAAACGGCCAGGAAAGTTAAGACGATTGTACAGAAACGGTTACTTTTTTATTCCATCTGCAGTGGCAGAAGAGTGAATTATTCAGCTCACTACTTCATTCCAAATGAAAATGATGAATCATTTAAATCCTCCAAAAGATCGTCCCTCCTCTCAGCTCACAAGGAAAACAGACATGGTGAAAAATTTAAGTCATTTTTGGGGTGTGATCCCTCGCTCATCCCCCCGGCTTTTTGTAGTTGAGTGTTGTTATGTTTACAGAGATTTGCACACAAACACACACAGACAAAAAAAAGACACCACAAGGCTTTGATTGTACTAAAGTGAAATATAAAAGCAACACCATCCACAAGTATTCCATCTACTCTATGGAGTAATGACGCCTCTATAATTAATCATTTAAATGTTTTTACAGAAAGTCTCCTATTTTGTATTCCCCCTGTAGTCGCACTAGTCACACCTTGAAAATAAAGTATGCATGGTTTTCTGAAAGTTACAAAAATACTTAAAAAAAAAAGGTAATCAATTCCACTCAAACAATCATTCTGCCCAAATGAAAACCCCCATAGATCTGTGATGAAACGATAGTGGAACAAAACCACAGAGACTCCTGCGACGGGCTTTTTTGTTCTTTCAAAAGGTCAGGATGCAAATGAGCTGGAGTTTTCAGCTGGAATGCACTTTTATACTGTGTGATGTTCAATAATAGATTATGAATCGTGTCAAAGATTACATTTGTTTTATAAGATGTCAGTTAAAGAAAACGATACATTGTTTGACTGTATGTAAAATCATTTCAGATGTAAATACCACTAGATATTATTGCTAAAAGAGAGTATATAAAAGAAAAACTAGTAAAAAAAGAAGAAGTTGAATTTATATGTCCAAAAGGAGCAATGTTGGGATTATCTGTATGTACTGTAGATTAGAAATGGATTTACTGAGCTGGACTGAACAGCCTTCTGGGCTGAAAACAACACCATGTATTCAACATCTGTGTATTAATGAGCAGGTTGGGGCTTGTTTTGTGGTTGCTCTTGTCTGAGATGGACAAGCCAAGGATTCAATTATACATGTGGCCTCTGGCAGATGGTTGTTGTGCACTGTATTAGTTACAGAAAGCCTCAGAATTTGCTCGCCCCAGCGAGGAACCAATTTGATGAAAATCCAGTAGAGTGAGGAGAAATTCCCCTTTAGGCATACAACAAAAATTCATTGTTTTCCCTAAAATCTTGATTATTATTCTGCAAAAGTAGAAATATACACTAAAATGGAATCGGTAATAAGTCTCAAGGAAAGCTTTGTCATTAGTGTTGCTCTGCCTGGGAGATATGAAACTTGAAAGTTTTGTAGATAGTTACTTATCTCTACAAATATAATAGAGTGTAGATATAAGAGTACGATTTTTAATGAGCAGGAGAAAATGACTGTTCATTTTCTTTAATCTTTCATGTCTTTCAGGAAATGCAACTCAATGACCATACTAATATTCCTTTGCTTTACCCTGCCTACTGCACATATTTTAATTTTGAAAAGGTTCTAATTTGTGAAATAATGATCAAATTTAACACATTTTGCAGAAACTGTTTTATTTGAGTCCAGAGGGAAATTTCTCCACATGTCCTGACCTGAATGTGGATGTCTTTGGTGTACCATCACAGAAATGTCACCTTTTATTACCGGATCACTGTAAAGCCACCCACATAAGTCAAGCTGCCAGCTTTGCTAGTGTCCACCAGTTTGGTCCACCATAATCTTGTTGTCAAGGTCTACTGTCAGCACTTACTTAACCAATCTGGAGGTCAAAAAGGAAACCCATACCCACCTCTGTACCCTTTACCTGAGCCACAGACTCGTCCATACAGTGCCACTGTGCAGACTGGATGGTGTCCGGTCCGATGTACAAATATCGCACAATGACCACAAGAGTGGGGGGTGCAGAACCTTTGGGGCAATCTGAGATTTAGTTATGTTTGGCTTATCAACAATACATCAGCATCCTGAAGCCGCTTCAAACTTTAATCAGCTGTGTTACCATTTAATCCAAAGTGATTTATATATGAGCTATGAGACCCTTCAAAGTGTTTACTCGAGGACAACATTAAAGATCATTCTGTTTTTCTTTTCTTACTTGGGTATATTCTAAATTGTTGGTGTTGTTTCTATCAGTAGAAGTATTGTTGGTAACTGTAACTGCTGTGACCTGGGACTAGGGTTGCCATGATACCATATTTTTAAACTTTGATTGTAAGAAAAAAAATCACATGATAGTTATACCTGTTTTGATACCACGACAACCAAAGTCTAAGTCCAATACACCAAAATATGTCAGGCAAAATCTTGCACACTGTCCTAGTTTAACAAATACATTGGTAACATTTTGGTAGTGAACCATTTCCAATGTAATTGTTCAATTAAGACAGTGCACTCTCACTAGGTTAAAAAATATGACTGAAATCTGTATTTCATCAAAGCTTCAGAACTTTCCAATACTATTAATCATCCAAATAACAGAGAATGTTTCATTTTTAAAACATTTTTGAAACATGGCTCAATGGAAATCTGACGAGATTAAAAAAGTTTTTTGGTCTTAACCCTTAAGGTACTTGGACATATGTTGAAGATAAAACAAAGGCGACATTTAAAAATAGAGTGGTCACATGTATTACTAAGGTTTCTTGAGATTGTTTCAAACTTTTTGATCCCATTTGTACCTAGTCATTTCATGTGCTTTGAGTAAATCAATGCTTTTGGTTAAAAAAATCGACTGAAATTCAATAGCTTCAAATTTAAGTTAACTGCTATAAAGATGCTATTTTGTCTACCTCTTGAGAAATGTAGACTACTTAATGTTTCTCCATAAGTAGGCCTATTCCAGTGCTCTGGCATTTATTAGACTCAAGTCCCTTTTCTTTCTAGAGTTTTTGGTAAGTTGACAGTTGCTTGCTAGCTAAGTAGCTCAGTTGTTAGCTTGCGAGATGTGCTAGCTCTTAGACCGTCTCTATAGTCTTCAAGTACAAAGTTACTTAAAAAAAAGACACCCAATCACAATTAGGCTAACAGCTGTTAGCTAGCTAGAGAAGCTGTCACTGTTATAACTTAATAGTGCAAGTTTTGTTCCAAGTTTTTTTGCGCTGAATAACTAAACACCTCTGAATTACTGAAGACTGAAGCTGTTTACCGCCTCTAATGAGATAATATGACATTAAAAAACAATTAACATGACACGTCTACCTTTAGCTATTGGGGTAAATAGAAACATTTTGTGTGAGGTTGTCTAGCTTTTGTCTTCCTTTCCCAATTGACATTGTTGTAGCAAGGTTGCCAAGTCCCTGTTCTCAGCAATGTACAATGTCATCTTAACTGATAAAAAACGATGATCTAAAAATACAAGAGCTGACCTGAAATAAACCTGTGTTATCCTTTACACCTCATTTAATTGCAGTAAAATGTCAAACCACAATATGGGACAGAGTGAATTAATGTCACTAATGATAATTGCCCTGGTACACCTAGAAAGACTGCCAAAGAACTTGGACCCATTCTGTTTTGAGGGTAAGGATTGTTGTTGTTAAGAGTACTAATGTGTTTCTTTGCCAATTCATCATTCAGGCAATGTTTTCTCAGCATTTAAGAAAGACGTGCCAGCTTTCTGAGTCCCTCTGTCTCCAAACAAACAAAAAACACTTTCCTCATTTTCACAACAGTTATGCCAGTTCCGTGGCAGCCATTACTAAAGTAATTATATTTGGTATACCAGTAAGTGACCTCTCACATTCTAATTACATGGTTCACTCTTGCGTCTTGATTGGCTCCAGGTGTCTCATCTCTGCTGATTCATCTAAATCAAATTTCTGCTCCTGCTGATTGGTCAAAATCAAAGTGATGATTCTCTTGATTTGTCTTATTTCAGAGTTCTGGAGAGCTGTGCTGACTAAACCACTTGACGGAGCTGATTATTGCACCTCCTGAGCCCGGAAAATTGGTTCATTCAAAAGCGTGATTAGTTGAATCAGTTGTTTTAAATGGAATAAAAGTCTGCAGTCTCGGCTGCTCACCACAGCTCTTTAAGTCGTTAGTCTACTTTAGATACACCAAGCCACAGTGGCAGGTGAAAGCGGTGCTGTCGGGCCATTTGTCAAGTCATCTGTCCCAAAACAAATAAAACCTTATATACTGAGGATGGAGAAGACACAATCAGAGGATAGGGGAAGGTGTTTTTGCATCAAAATATGTTAATACAAAGGATGCAGGCTGAAGGTTCAAAGTAATTGCTTTTACCTTTAGAGTCCCCAAACAGGTAGACCCCATTGGTTCTGCACCCCCAAAGGGACTTCATTGCTCCTGCACGATGTTGATACAATTTCACAATTGCGTGCTGAACAAAGTGTATTTATTTCTGTTGTACTTTTCTTTTTGTAAATTTGAATAAAAAAGGAACTATTTCAAAAAGTGATGACTCAGACTTGCTTTCTGCTTCTTTCTAGTCTCCTGAATTTCTGGGTAATCAGACTGCTGCTGCTTCTTGCGCGTGCTTACTGTGTATGTGTGCGTGCGCGACAACAAGCGTGTATGTGTGTGTCTCAAAGAGAGAGACAGAGGAGACAGCGATTGAAAGATGTTTCGTGCAGGGCATACAAATATGTGCGCACCTCGTGAGCATGTGTCTTGTTGTGAGTTGGCAGTGGTGCCTTGTCAAATTGGCCCCTTGAAATTTCCACAGCACAGCCAGAGTGTGTATACGTGTGTGTGTGTGTGTGTGTGTGTGTTTGTCTGCAGGATGAAGGAACACCTTGTCTGGTCTGATCCAGCCCGATGAGGGGATGTGAGGTCAGTAATAGAGGACAGACGGAGAGTTCTGCAGAGCAATCACGCTTTCAGACGGAGGGGGAGACTTCTCTGTTTGTTCCCCCACAAAAAAAGCAAAGAAAAGGACATTTTGAACTCCAGAGAAGCAGCAAATAGAGCAGACCTGACAGCTCTGACCAAATACTACGAGGCCCCTTTGACAACCCTCGCAGCCATCCCGTATTCTGCAGGCTTTGCTCCGGCCGGATGATGGATCGGGGAGATGTACGCCATTTCTGTGTGACTGAATAGCTGGTTAAAAAGATTTATTACAATAATCAAATATGAAGGAGGGGATTATTTCTACATGATGGTTTAGAGAATGATCGTGTTAGCCGGGTCTCCGCTTGATTACAATGATAATACCCGCCTCAAGTCAGGAGAGAGAGGGTGAAACAGAGGGAGAGAGATGGGAAAGAGAGAAGCATATTAGCAGTTAATATGCAAGTCTGTTGCATTACATAAAACTGTATTTGTGATTGGGTTAGAGCTGATTCTACACTCTGCTGAGGAAAGATTTCTCTCCATCTTTTGTGCATCCTTGCACTTCTATAATTATGCAGCTCTAGGAGCTGACTTTGTCCCCCCCAATTGAGGCGACACCCTGAATCCAGAGAAGTCAGAGGTCAAAACAGCTTTGATTTCCCACCCTCCGCCATCAACTGATAAAACGCATCAACTTTCTAACCATCACAACATTCATATTGATTAACAACTCCTACATGTACGTTTATCAGTCCACCTGGAGCGTCAACACCGCAATGCAGCATCCTAGGTGAGAATGAGATGCTGTCATGGCGATGTCAATAATTACAGCATGCATAATTGATCATAGTATAATGGCAGAGCTGCAGATAAAATGGGCTCCTGTTTAAGCAGTACACCTGGGAGTGACTAAATAAGCACTGGACCAGAGAGCTGCATACACACTGTGCTGCAGGATTGCATCACAGGGCATCAGGGTGTGTGTGTGTGTGTGTGTTACAGTCCAACTACACGGAGATTCCTCATTCTGTTTGAACCTTCCTGACACACAGAATCCCTCTGGCTATTTAGCACAGCGTGAGTGTGTGTGTGTGTGTGTGTGTGCTCAGTGTGTGTCTCAAATTGTGCCTGTGCATCTTTGCATTTAAAGTTTGAAGAAGCTTTAAAGGAAGCTTCCAAACATCAGCAAAGTGTGAGAGAATGAGGTGAATTACAAGCACCTGGGTACTCAAGGCAGCTTGGAATGTGGCCAAAAGCATAAAGTTATAACATTATCGGTTCACCTGTGCTGATTTTCATTGTCACTGTTCTATAGCTTGTTGTTTTGATATACTGTTGAAGTCAGGTGACCTTCTGCAGAAATAGGTCATAAACTCTGCCTCCTCCATGCTAACAGAAGGGAGAGGGTCAAAATATAAAATCAAAATACACATGAAAACATTTTTCATGATGGGTAGTTATTGTCATGTTGATGACAATCAGGGATCCATTTGTCTGAAAACAGTTTTGTTTTGGATTAATAATTATTAGATGCAAAGACAAGCAGATGTCATGTCCTGATTGACAGCTCAATCATAGGCGAAAAGAAAACTGACAATATAGTCATTAAATACAGTGTCTCAATCAAACTGATACAAAAGGATCTTTATACAGTAAACAGTTTCCATCGAAACAATCATGATCATGACTATTTCAGGAAACCAATTCTGGTTAATTAAATCAAGTTTTTTTTTCTTGTAGCATTCATGTATTAGTAACATGTCTTTTAACTTCCTCTGGTTTCATAATGTTACCCTGTGTGTTAATGATTGTTTCAAGGCCAAAATGTTCAAATCCATTCATCAAGATTTATTTTAAGAATATAACCAGATGTTGCCTATTTATTATTGATACTTTGCCAACTATATTTGAGAGTCTTATTGGATGGTAAACAATGCTTTAACTTGTCAGCAGAGTCCTTAACAGGACTAAACTGATGCTGGATAGCACCTAGTCATATTTTGGAGCTTTGGTTCACTTACCAAGCTTCATGTTTTGATTAGTCGGGAGACAAAAAGGGTTGCAAACATCTAGTGTAAATTTATGGATGTGACCACAACTTGCCAGGTAGTTAAACGCCTAACAACCTCCTAAGAAACTTTTTACTCCCCTATTCCAGCGTAGTTCTACCAGCCTCTCCCTCGCCTCTTCTTGTCTCCCCCCTTACTTTCTTTCTTCTCGCTTGTGCGTTTCGCTCAGGACGCTCTAAGAGTTCACCGGCTCATTTGAAGTGGAAAATTAAATCTTCATTAACAATCTTAATTAGAGTTCGATCTTCTCCATAGCAAGTCGACAGGGAATCCATAGTGTAGCAGGGGGAGACCTGGAGCAGGAGCTGGTTCCTTCAAGGTGGGGGAGGATGGGGGGGGGGTAATTAGTGAAAGGAAACTTGGGGGTAAATTACACTAGAGGTATTTACACTTTAAGAGGCAGTGGGATGGAGGGAGCAGTTGGATAATTAAAGGGACAGCATGTTGATTGCTAACTTGTGAACGGTAGTCCAACATGTGGCAGGGGTTTGGGTTGGCACATTAGTACACAATGGAAGGGACAGGGGCGACTCTGGAAAATATACTCACCCACATACATCAATGGGACCTAAATGAGATGGAGTGGTTGTGTCAGGTCCCCAGTCTAAGCTTATAGCCGCATCACTAAGGAATGGTCCAAGCCTGAGCCAGCCCTCACTAAAATCATGATCAAAAAGAAAAGTTTTGAGCCCCTCTTATACCCTGACTGGAAGATGATTCTGAAAGAGAAAGGGGCCTGATTGATTGTTTAGCGCTCTACTTCCCATACTACTCTAGGAGTGCTTATGCTTTAATTGAAGCCAGAATCCTCTATGATTGGCTGACAACTTGGTCAGAGGTGGGACTTTAATGAGTTGTATTGAAACAGGCAGCTAATAGCTTGTGTGGCATCTAAACGTAGCACATTTTCGACTGTTGACTTCTCGAGACACATCGGCTATTTGTGTCCTTAGAGAATCAAGCTTTGCATGAAAGATCTATTTTTTTGCAAGTTTAAGTGCTATCTTTTTAATCAAAGCTCCTGTGAGGATTGGTAATGAAACAGAAATAAATGAATACTTATGACTCTCCATGACTTAGAATCAAATAAGATCATTAGGGATAAAAAAGGTTAGAACAATTAGAGATACAACAATAAGTCAAAGGCCTACTGCTTTGCCACAAGGGTTGTTAAGATCAATACAAAACTAAAGTCTCCCAAAGTAGCTTTAAAAAATGCATGGACAGAAATGTTACATGTTTATGATACATCATTGTAAGTAGAAAAGATTGAAATGATTAGTGGAGACAGAAATGGAAAATAAATGCTATTTGGACATATGAAATGCCGTCCCTGCATGTGTAGTGCCTAAGATGATATCCATCCATTTTCTTCCGCTTATCCGAGGTCGGGTCGCGGTAAGTAAGTCCCAGCAGGCACAGTAAGTCAACCCAGACTTCCCTCTCCCCCATTGACGATTTGAAGCTCCTCCTGGGGGATTCCAAGGCGTTCACAGGCTAGACAGGATATATGATCCCTTCAGTGAAATCTGGGTCTACACGGGGGTCTCCTCCCGTGGGCGTGCCCAGAAAACCTCCAAAGGGAGGCGTCCTGATCAGATGCCCAAACCACCTCAACTGGCTCCTTTCGATGCGAAGGAGTAGGCTGAGCCCGGCCACCCTCCAGAGAAAGCTCATTTCGGCAGCTTGTATCCGTGATCTTATTCTTTCGGTCACTACCCCCATAGCTCATGACCACAGGTGAAGTTTGGAACAAAAATCAACCGGTAAATCAAAAGCTTTGCCTCCAGGCTCAGCTCCCTCTTCACCACAACGGTCCGGCACACCACCTGCATTACTGCTGACGCCGAGCCAATCCATCTGTCAATCTCACAGTCCCTCCTACCCTCACTCATGAACAAGACCCCGAGATACTTGAACTCCTCCACTTGGGGCAAGGACTCAATCCCCACCCGGAGAGAGCAATCCTCTGTTTTCCGGTGACACCCAGTCAAAAAACTGGACAAGCCCCCGGGAGAGAAAGGTTAGGGGGGAAACTATTAGTCAGAAATCTTTATTGGAATTGTTTCTTGTCCTGCTGTCTGGTGACATGGTGTTACTGGAGGCGACATAATCCCTTATCATGCTCCCATAAGCATCGAGAATTTGCCTAATACCAGACAGTAATCATTCGAAGACATTGCTAAGCATGCAGCCCAATGCTCCCTCTTATCCACATTTACATACCACAGCACGCCATTCAGCCGCCGTGTGTGAGGATTTGGTGGTAAAGAAAACAATTATGTCCCTGCACAATTAGAATATGTACACTGCTCTTCAGTCCAAAAAGAAGAAACTCTTCTCCTTGCAGCTTTTCTTTTCAATTCCCGAATCCACTGATGTCTTTTCTGGCAGCAGCTCTATTGTAGGGAGCTGCCCTATCAGAAAGCATCTCTGCAGTCGCCTTTGTGTGCAAAATGAGCTGAGGTAAAGAGATTTTTTTTACCCGAGGGAATCCAGGCGACATGACATAACCCGGACCAGTAAGGCCACATAAGGCGGCACGGCGACTTGG